AAAATTTTGTCTGCTTTCTTGCAATTTTAAGTCACGAACGATTCACAAGTTGCAGAAATTCCTGCCATAAAATATTTTTCATTTGTTTAAACTTCATTAGTCCTTGAATTACATCCCCGTACAGCATTTATTATATATTTGGTATGTATACGTATATCTGAACACCTCCAGCCTGGTCAAAAACATTCTCCAGGGAAAAACCACTTCACTACAACCATCCCATAAACAACACTATCTATCCATCCCACCATCCAGAGAGAGGAAAATTGTGTTTAGCCAACTGGTGATTCATCCAGTCAGCCCATCCAATCCAGTTTAAATATATGCATTTGTCAGCTGTGATTGGTCAGGTACTGTATCTGTGTTAATGCACATAATACATCCAACTAAATGAGCATATGTTGCTCAATTTTAAACCAATCTGAAATGAAATTGAGAAGCAAATCATTTTGAGTGTGAGAAAAGGTGGTTAAAAAAGAGAGAATTAAAAGATTAGTAAAAATGATTTGGTGGAATTTAAATTCAGCTTCTTTTTTTTTTTTCAAATAATGTTTTTTCCAAGACACTTGTAAGGGAATAAGTTTAAAGATGTGGAAATATTTTCCCTCTCGTTCTGGTTTCTGATGAATGGTTTGAATAGCCTATGATTTGGGTTTCTGGTGAGCGTCTAAAGCTGATACAAAATGCTGTAGGAGCACGTTTTCAAGCTCTGTGCCTTTATTCTGTGGTTTTGGAAATGTGGTTGGCACATGCACACACACATTTTTATAGACTGATGGAGCTCTAGTTTTCTCTTCTGCAGTTCTGCTGACCCTTTTTCCTAAAGTTACGACCTGAAGATCCTTGATCATCTCACCTTTCTGTACATTATGTTCCTTTTCGTCATCCTTACGCTGCATCTGTTCGGTGCCATCTGATCACCAATGGATTTATGTGTTTGTGTCCTCCCAATGGAGCTGAGACTGTTTTGTTTTTAAGTGAGGTCCCATTGATCTTTTATTACACCATTAAGTTGAAACGATCTTCTCATAAACAGCTTGAGATTAAAAGCATGCCCTTTGAAGGGTTTGTGTGCCTGCATCTGTGTGTGTGTGTGTGTGTGTGGTGGTGGTGGTGGTGGGGGGGGTTCTCTATGAACCTGTCTGCCTGCCACTGAGAACTGGTTGGCTCAGGTTGGTGCAGCAATTATTTTCTTAATTTTCTCATAAGCAATATATATTATTGGCAGAATTTTTTTAATTCTTATAATGTGTTATTTATCATCATCATTGTATGTTCCCATACGATGGTGAAATTGGCTCTCTGCATTTAATCCATCCACCACCAGGTGGAGCTGTGGGCAGCTATGGAAAGCGCCCGGGGAGCAACTGGGAATAAGGTGTCCTGCTCAGAGACACCACGAGATGTGCAATGGCCGGGCATCGAACCCGGGAACTTGGGGTCCCGATTCGGCTGCCCTGCCCCTACACCATTACAATTAGTTTAGTGGAAGTCTTTCACAGGTGTTGCTTTCCATTGTCCAACTCAGCCTGAAATTTTACAGCAGCAGTTTTTTTCCCTTTCAGTTTATTTAAATTGTTATAAAAATATGTTTTAACGCTCATAAAATCCCAAGTTTTAGTTTTTTTGTAAAGCAGTTAAACTGCTTAATTGTAAAAATAAATAAATTAATTAAAATAAATAAATAATAATAATAATAATACAATTTCTAATATGATCCGTTTCTTCGATCATCTCATGATGGGTTAGCTACAAAGACGTGGCAACATTTTAACGCTTTGAAACTGATTTCCTATTTACCCTGAACAGAAATCATGTTTATCTGTAGGCATCTAAGTTTGCTGGACATGTTGAACAACACTTTAAACTTTTAGAAATAATTTAGCATTTTAAGCTATTTTTTTCTGGACTGAAAGATCAGTTGCAATATCCATCCATCCATTATCTTTACCCGCTTATTCCATTTTGGGTCACGGGGTCGCCAGTGCCCATGTCCAGCAATCACTGTGTGAGGGACGGGGTACACCCTGGACAGGTCTCCAGTCCATCACAGGGACACATAGAGACAAACGAGACAAACAACCATTCACTCTCTCATTCACACCTAGGGACAATTTAGAGTTACCAATCAGCCTAACATGCATGTTTTTGGTCTGTGGGAGGAAATCGGAGCACCCGGAGAAAACCCACGCATGCACGGAGAGAACATGCAAACTCCACCCAGAAAGGCCCCTGGGCCGGGGTTTGAACCAGGGACCTGCTCGCTGAGAGGCAGCAGCTCTACCAGTTGCACCACCCCAGTTGCAAAATATATCATACAATACAATATGACAAAAACCATGCATGTTAGGCCAATTGTTAAATTTAAATTGTCACTAATGTTTGTCTATATGTGTCTATAAACTGTCTATTTGTCCATATGTTTAATGAACTTTGTGAACTGACCAGGGTGTACTTTGCCTTTTGCCTAATGGCTGCCAAAGATCGGCACCAGCTTCAGTAATACTGTTGAAAAAAGTGCAAACACAAATGCCAAGTGTTAAGAAACAGTTGTCAGGTGTTTCTTGCATTTGCTTGCTGTGGTGACCACTGCAGAAAGGAGCAGCCGAAAAAAAAACACACACACAAAAAAAGTGATATTTATTTAGAAAATAGTTTTAAAACAACTATTTTAGCAACTGTATATATCTTAGAAGGAATGATTTGAGAATATTGATAATTTTCTTTGTACAATAAACATAATTTTATAGAGTTTGTTTTAGATTGTTTCCTTTCCCTTGACCTACAAGTACCTGTTGGTGCTGCCAGGCCAGCACTGTAAATAAGAATTTGTTCTTAGTGTTTAGCCTGGTTAAAGAAAGGTGACATGAAAGTTTAGCGTCACAGGAAAATAAAAACAGGAACTTTTGTTCCATTCATTCATCCATTATCTTTTACCTGCTTCTTCCTTTATGGGTCATGAGGTCACTGGTGCCCATATCCAGCAGTGACTGTGTGAGAAATGGGGGACACCCTGGACAGGTCTCCAGTCCATCACAGGGACACATAGAGACAAATGAGACAAACAACCATTCAGTCTCTCACTCACACCTAGGGATAATTTAGAGTTACCAATCAGCCTAACATGCATGTTTTTGGTCTGTGGGAGGAAACTGGAGTACCGGGAAAAAAAAAAACATGCATGCACAGAGAGAACATGCAGAAAGGCCCCAGGCCGAGATTTGCACCGGTGGCCTTCTCACTGTTATGTTTACATGCACAAAATTCTCTGACCAGATTGAAATGTTTTCAGATTAAATCATTCAAATGTATCGTTTACATGGGCACAATCTGTTCATGACGAGCGTTTACATGCAGCGAGCTTTGTTCTGAACAGAAGTACTGGCATGCGCAGAGTGGTCAACTCGCCTTAAAAAAAAAAAAACACAGAAGAAGAAGTTCTACTTCCGGTTTACTTCCGGGGTGAATGTAAACAAACCTGAACTCCCAAAATGGACCCGTGCCAGGTTTTAATGACGGTGGAGACATTACTGCACTCCCTGACTGAGCTACAGGTGATACAGATCATTTTGAGCTCTTTCAAAGTCTCTAGTAGAAATATTGTGTCGCTCACCGACCAGTTTTGCTTCCCTGACATGCTAATATTATTAACATTAACCAGGTGGAAATGACATAGGTCGCACATGCGCAGTCAGGTCGGTTTTTCACGATCGGGAAAAAATAATTAACAGATTAAGCGTTTACATGGACACCGTTCGGGTTATGGATCAGTGTAAACCACCCATTTCGTTCTGATTACAAATTATTTTGAATCGCGCTGAATAAACAAACGGGCGTTTATGACACATTTTTATTCTGAAGGGCCATTTAATCCAATTACTTACAGTATGTCCATGTAAACATAGAGACTGAGAAGTGGCAGCTCTACCTACTGAGCCTAAAAATTGCATCATAAAAAACACACACAAAAAAATTAACAAGCCCAGACTGTCTGATACTGACTTTGACATCAAAACATCTGGACCCATGGGTTGTGGATGGGATTGTTCCAGTGCAGAAGCTATATCCAACTGGGATCTGAGTCAGTGCCTTTGCCTTGACCTTTTCTTCATCCTCCTCTGGGCGAGCCTCAGCTGTTCTTGCTGTGTGACAGAGAGAACATTATCTTAATGTAGTCAACCACTGCCATCAGTGTCACAGTTCTTTTTCAACTTGCTGTGCAACAAGATCTAGGTAGACAGTGGCTGTTTGATGTTGAAATACCATTCACATAATATCCTAATTCAGAATGTCCAGACAGAACTCTGCCTTGTAGGGAGATGATCAAAGACTTTCAGACTTTCTTAATTTTAAACTGCAGTAAATCAACAATTTGTGACCAAATTGCACCAGCACAGCTCCTACTGTACATTGCATAATGTTTAGAGTTGCATATTTGTAGCTGTTAGATAATTAAAGTGTCAGCCTACAAGAGAGCAATGTCTAGGCCTGAAAGTAGAATGTTCTAAACAGGGAAACATTCAGCCTTTGTAAAATCCTAAATATCCACCACGTCAAAACTAATAAAAGTATTTTAATCGCATTCATTCATATGTGGTTAAAATTGTCTACCTGTTGGCAAATCACACTGACGTATTCTTCTTTATGTGTAAAATAAGCCTATACACAAACAAACTGAGCATTCACCTTGTGCATCAACTGCAAGTCAATTCTGTCTTTCACGCAAGTACATAGGTTTTTTTTGCCGATGCAGCGATGTGGTTGGATTCCGTCTTTGCTTTGCTCTGCACAAAATGCCTTTTCCCCCTGATTGTATCATTATATTCCCATCAGAGCAAATTGGCTCGCCACTGTCTGGAACAGAATAACTTCCTTGGCAGCCATGTGTGGAGATAAACAGAAACAAAAGGAGACTAAAAATAGCCTTTAGCATATATTCATAATATTTTTTTTTCACTGCTTTAAGTGTCTTTATTTCTTTTGCTTTCATTCCTTCACAGTGTGTAACTGTGATCTGGCACGATCTGGCTTCTTCCAGAAGAAGGGCGAGTATATTTGTACGGCTGACTACCAGCGGTTGTACGGCACTCGCTGCGACCGCTGTAACAGCTTTATCACAGGAGAGGTGGTCTCCGCCCTGGGCCGCACGTACCACCCCAAGTGCTTTGTCTGCAGTGTCTGCAGGTATGTAATCCCTTACACAACATAACACACACCCCACACGCACTAGAGTTCCATTCGGGCCTAAAAAATCTGGCCCGGACTGAGCCCTTAGTCTTTTATTCCGAGCCCTACGTGGACCCAACGGATTAACGGTAATTAGAGGGCCAAACCCCCCAAAAAACAATTTTTTTTAAATTAAGCTTTTACTGCTTTTGTAAGCAAATCAGTTTGACACAATAGTTTTTAAAAAAGTAACGAAAGGAAGATATAAGATTTTTTTTTCTTTTAACAAGTCACCAAATGGCTATTAACATGTAAAACAAATAGCCTAAAAACATCAACTCTAGGCTATTATACAGATGAACCATTTTTAGAGCAAAATTATTTGGAAAAATATAGAACGAGGCTTTTTTTTTTTTTTAATTTAGACATATTAGAAAGCCGTGCAAAATTAAGCTGAGTCATGCTGTCGCTGATGACGGAGCGATTTAACGTACACCCGCACTACACCACAGAATAAAACTGGTGTGTGCATGAAAAATAAATTGAAAAGTCCTCAATTCTTCAATAATGCTTATTCTAATTGCTACTTTAATAAACAAAATACTTATAACAAATAACAGACATAGCGGGTAAAGATAATGGATGGGTGCATGCATGGAGGGCTGAAAAAAAGTCGGAAACTAATATTGCACAATCTTGAATTGCAACAATGACGGGAGTGATAAAGAACAATAAAAAATGATCAAAAATATATTAATAAGAACTGCACAAACATGAACAAAATAAAAAAGTGCATATACTGTATGCAGCTGGCTCAGTTTGTGCCGGGTCATCATACAGCGACAGCCTCGTTTCTTCGACTATGAACCTGGAAAATAAAGCTGGAACTAGACCTGAGTTGCCTAAATACAAAATGATAAATATATTTAAAAATCTGTCAAGAAGTTATTGTGTTCTACTGACATGGTTTTACATGTTGTCGTGTAAGAACAATATTGCGTCCACTGTAGCAGGTTTGAGAACAGTCCTCCGCTGCTCTATTGTGCAGCCAGCTGAGAGCAGGGTGCGGACCTGAGCAAGAACCTGACACACATCAGCAGGTGTCATCATTTTAAGTTTGTTCAAATTAAGCCACAGGAAAAGTGCAGCTCTGCATGTCTCATAAGAGGAGCAAATCAGGGTGGGCGGGGCCAAATGATTCGTAAAACCACATCAAAGCCCGATACCGGCCTGGCCTGCACATTAATTACATTAATATGCACCGGCCTGGCCCTAATCCAGGACAGACCTTTGGGCAAGTGACCAAAATGATCAGGTCGCCCAGCAGTCTCCAAAACCAGCCAACAAGCTGTTCTTCTGGAAACAATACAAGAATCCTTGAGCACTTGTTAATGTAACAAAAGTGCAATGTTCTGCAGTTTTCATAGAGAGCTACAGAGATGTCTGAGCACCCTTGAACTTTGGTTGAGAGACCAAGAGCAACCTGGTTTTCCTCCAGAGATAGATGGCATTGAGAATGTATTGTACAACCAACTGATTTCTTTGAGAGATGAGTGTTTGTTGAGAGATCACTGAAAAAGCATTAGGTGACCAATGTGATTTCAGAGAAATTTGTGGGAAATTGTGTGTCTCTGAATATAAACATGATCTGATTCTGGTGCCTTTCCATCAGTCATTAGCTACTGATGAAGAAGAAACATCTCCTGAAGGTAAATAACAAAACTCTGAATCCCAAGCACTCTTCCTGAAGCGCGTGGACTTGTGAGGAGTAAGATACAAAAGTGCAGAAGAAAGTTCAACATGGCTGACTCAACAGAAAAGGTTACAGTTTGTTAACTACAGCCAGCTGATGCAAAAACTGAAACTACATGACGAGGAGTTCTACAACTACCTACACACTGAGCCAGGCATGTTCAACTCTTACTAATATTTGGTCCAAGAATCATTGAATATCAAAGTCTGGAATCAGAACTCCAGTTGCCTTTGACCCTGCAGTGCCTGGTTTCACGTGGCAAAGTTGGCTAAATATTCACCAAAAATGTGTTTGTTGAGAGATTGCTGACCGATTAGTGAAAGACTAGTGAGACCATTGAGCACTTACTGAGAGATTGCTGAGCATTTGGTGAAAGAGCGCTTCTCTCTCAAATCTGATACAATGTTTTTTACACTCAACGGCCTCTCAGTGGTCTTTACTCTGTGGAAAGTGGCACAAATTAACTTAAAAAAATGTTTTTCATACAGATATAGCAGTAATGGTATTTATGTCTGAGCTTGGTTCATTTATATACATTGTAATAGTGCTGATTTAATACTTTTAATATGGCAGACTGGTGGATTTTGTTTGAGTAAAAATTGTTTAATTGGCTGATTATTTTGAATTTACAGTAAATGAGTCAGTCATTGCAGTGAAATAAAGTGGAATCCTGGTCAGTGAACAAGTATATTTTTTGTGGTTATTTGCATTAATCCTATTGAATGAAGGAAAACAGATCAAATCGAGACAACAAACTTTATATTGTCAAACTTGGAAACAGACATTTATTCAACAACTAACATGACATTAGTGTTATTGTCCTGATTAGGTTGAGAAGCCATATATGTGACTAAATACTTAAATTCTGATTTAAATAGATAAAGTTATATATAATGTGTACTTTCTATTATAATTCAACATTGTACTTTTTGATTGTCAGATTTACATTCAATAAACAAGAATGAATTATTTAACAAACTTACCTTGAATATATTAATGTTGTGCAAACATACAGTATTTTAATTTAAGTCAACATGTGTCTTGGATTTTTTTTTTAGTGTATAGTATAACAGACATCGGGCTAAGATAATAGAAAGGTTTTCTTTTTGTTATTATTTTAAGCACATTTATTTGGAGCAATGTTTTGTTTCCCGGCAGAGTTTTCATTCGTTTCAAATGTTCCACTCGGTTAGATAAATTAGTGGGGCTGACATTTGATGTATGACCAGCGCTGCAGTAAACACTGAGATTAGTTTGTCTGTTTTCTGCAGCGCTTACATTTGTGCTGCTGTATCGACCATATTTCTAGCAAATAAATATTTTCCACCACAAATCAGTGAGTGGTGCTCTTCTATGAATATGTATTAACTCTTGCATCATATGAAGTATCTGAAAGCACGATGAGTAATTAAACCAGCAGGAGCATGTTTTTTTTTTGTGCCTACTACTCATGGACAGTAAACTGCAATAACAGCATTTATGTCCATTATTACTTTTTATCCAACACTGTTTTGACTCTCAGACTCCTCAAAAGATGAAAAATGTTTTAGTGGGTACATGCTACGTTTTTTTTTTTTTTTTTTTTTTGCACAGTGCCCTGAGACAACTTGTGATTTGGCACTATATAAATAAATAGAATCAAATTGAATTGCTTTGGTCACCTGACATGTTTCGTATGCAAACGGTAAAATTACTTTATTTGAACCATCAATTGTACCTTTTAAAAACAAGCATTTCTTGAAGGAATACATATCACCCACTGCCTTTCATACCAGGTTTTTCATCTAAAGTCATCTTATGTTACAATGTTGCAACATCTTCACCTCAGATCATGTGTTGCTAAGTACCCGTAGATACTACCACATTAAACTTTAGGTCAAAATACTGCCTGCATTCTGAGATTTGTTGTTGATTTATCAACTTAAGAAGATGGTTCTTCTTCAACAGTAACCAGAGACTGAGCACCCAAATCTGCTTATTTTTATACCGTGAACCACACAATATCTGATACAATGCTCAGCAGCCACATAGGTCACCCAAAGATTTTTCATTCTATTAATGAACTCTCTTGGCCTATTGATTTATAGCCATTTTTGAGTTTATAAGTTTGATTAGCTGTGATAGCCACCCTAATATGGGTTTACTCAGATTTAGATGCTCAACCAATGGATACCGTATTTTTCGCCCTATAAGTCGCGTTTTTTTGCACAATTTGCATTCCCTGTGACTTATACACCAAAGCGACTTATTTATGGATTTTTTCCCATATTTATAAACCAGTTTTTGGCTGAGATGTGTTTGTTTTCATTCATTCTGACTGAAAATATTGAACACTACCAATTTCAGCCGTTAGATGGCACTCGAGTAGTATGGCATGCCGTTGTGTCACGTAATAGGTAAAAGTGCTATTAATGACACAATCAGCCTGCCACCTTTGTCCAGCTCGCCTGAACTAACCGTCAAATCAGCTTAATTTTGCTGCGCCACGCTGGCGAAATGCAGCTGATTTGACCATCGAAGTGCATTTATTAAGTTAAAGTTCAACTGAGACACTCATTTTATGTCGAGCAAACAAATAATTGTTTTTAGGTGGTTATCTTGTTAAATTAAAAAAAAAATGCACAGCGAGTCCACCAGTGCACACGATTACTTCCGTGTATCGACTTTTGAAATGCAGCTCATTCGACTGTCAAAATGCATTTATTAAGCAAAATTAAACTGAGACACACCTTTACTATTTTTTCGAGCAAACAAACAATTGTTTTTAAGTGACAGGCCCATGAACACACACACACACAAATAGTATGGTAATTTGTACACATTCAGCATGACTACATGATTTTATTGCAAAAAATGTGTCTTGTGAATATCACTTGGCTGTTTTTGTATTTATTCTTTGAAAATCAGTTGTCTAACAGAATCATGTGATCAAAGCAGGGACGTAGAAAAGGCTAAGCATGATCAAAACACTGAATCAAAAATGTTTTCCTCTCTTCTTATGTTGGAAATGTTACTGCACGAGACTGATCTCAGAAGTAGGGTGGTTCAGAGTCTTTAATGTTTAATGCTCATCAATTTCTGAGCGTGACTACATGTAGACTGTTGTTTTTTTTGCAGCCGAGACACGTTTCCAATAAGAGAGCTGATCAGAAGATGTTTCATGCATTTAGAATCAGTGAAAGTAGGCCACATCTCCTCTGACCTTCATTTGTGTTCATGTTAAGCAGAACAAACATTTGACTCCTCCCCCTTTATTAACCATTTT